TATAATATATTATATGGCAGAAAACCCACAATATCTGCCAAATGGCTTAAGTTCTGAAGCAAATCTTCTTAAATCTTGAGAATGAAATTGAAGTGTGCTAATTTTCTCATCCTTCAGTTCTAGGGGTGTAACTGATACTGTCTCAAAATAATGCATTATGTTTAAAAACCTAATGGCTACAACCTCTAAATACAATGAAAAATTATATCAAGGAACTTGCATTAAGAATTTATTCAGTTAAAAAGGATTCTGAAGTAGATAAAGTATTTTAGTACACTAAATATATTTAGTACATAGTAGATACTTTTCCTTCTGCTACATAGAAATACTTATATATGTACACCTGTATATACATAAAAATAGCATGAGGAATATGAATCAATTTTTATAAAAAATATTTATCATTATCTATTTATCTTTTTTTAACATTTTTTATTGATTTATAATATCTATTTATCTTTTTAGCCTTACAGTTCTCTGAGTGCAAAGAGGTATGTAAGGTTCCACTAACCAAGTGTGTGGGCGATATGGGTGTAATTTGCTGGATTGCTTAACTTAATTTCATGTTGAGGACGTATTCCCTTTACACAAAAAATAACAGCTAAAATACTTTCCTAAAATATCCTGTGATTACGTTTTTGTTAAATAATTTGTCTATCTGTCCTATTAGCCTGGAACCTGTATATATTCATAAAGAAATCTCTGGAATATTAATCATAAGAAGCAGTTCAGGTGATTCAATTTGGAATACTTTCAGATTTGTTCCTTACTATTTTTTAGAATTGCTTTACTTTGTATTACGGAGCTTACGCCCTTTTTACAATGAAAACATTCCATTATTTCCCTAAAAGTGGGTGGAGAGAGAGGACGGTAAAGAACGGAGGAGACTTTAAAGAAGGTACCATGAGTGCAGCTCTCCTGTTTAGCCCTAGGATGTGAGTCAGAGGACTGCAGATTTTGTCTCTTGACCAGTGGGATCCCTTTTAAAGGCTTACAGCTCCAAGTAATAAAGGTGGTGTTAACTGATTGCCTACTTTTCCCCCCTGCTTGGATTCTTTGTGCCTGTGGATAAGGCTTTCTCCACCTTTCAAACCTCCTCAGCCACGTCAGTGATATATCCATCTCTTCTTTCTGGACTGGTTGCTTTCTAGCTATCCCATCTGCCTTTATCCTGCCTTGCGCTCCTTAGCATGTTAATCTCATATCTTTCTCTTTCTTGGTTTACTCCCTTGTTTTGGTGGAACACATCCTACAATAGCTTCCTATAGTTACAAAGGTGTACTGTGACAGAAGTTACAGTAAAAAGAGTCATCAACATTTCTAATTTCTTATCATTGTTTATAACATTTATCTTTTTCAGAAATGACATTGAAATTCTATGTGCTAAGGGAACTTTAAAAAAAATAAGAAAAGACTCAATCCTGTGTAGGAAGAATTTCTGTCTCAGAGATGGCAAAATATTAAAATGATATTTAGGTGCAGCTGTAGGTATTTGTGATCTGCAAACTCTTTTATCTCTAAATTGAATTTCATTTAATAATTGTCCATCATTAATGATGGAACCAAATGTGCTTTGTAATATTCTTACTAAATATAAAATATTGATCAATATAAATGTTAAGTAGACTCAGGAAGTCTAAGACTTTCCAGAGTAAATGGTTTTGTTCTAGCCAATTCAAAGATTAAAAGCAAAAAAAAAAAGATGGAGAGGGATCGTGACACCCCTTTGTATCTACAAAGCTGTGTTAATTGTCACCATATTATCATCATCAAAAGAAATAAAAGTGGTAATTATGAATGAACTTTTCAATTATGAATGAACTTTTACCAAATTGTTATCCTTTGTTCTATCTGATTATTGGTGAGTAAAATTTATTTTTCTATAATAATCTAGTTTTGTTTGTAAAATACAAGAAATATAAACAATAAAAATATTAAAAAGTAAAAAAAAATTAAGCACAGTCTTGAAGGAGGCTCTAAATGCTTTTAGTCTACCACAGAAGGGAGTCCAACTTGGTTTTAGATAGTTGAATGGGCACCATGAGTGCTTTGAAGGATTGGCATTATGTTTGGAGTCAAATGGGTAATTCCTTGAAATAAGGAATAAGAATTTCAAGAGTGGGAGTATTGGGGAGCAGGACTTGAATGAAATAGAGAATGTGTGTTGTAGAGTAGGAAGGTAAGTGGAGTGAGGCTCTATTGGACACACAGATTACAATAAGAAAATAAATAACCATGATTTACTTCATCTTAAAATGCTTATTCTGCTCTCTAATACATGAAATATATCACTTTTATCTTGATGAGCTCCTTCCACCACAATTTTAAGAAGACTCTCTAGAGCACTAGAT